CAGTGGGGATTAAACTCAATAAGACAGTCTCTTCTAACCAAGTGGGATGTTTTGGTAGGAGGTTTTTAAATGGTGATCAGAATGCACAGTATAGTAGTAGTAGTAGTAGTAGTAAAAATTACAAGGGAAAAATGAGAAATGATAAATGCTTTGAATATTTTGCTTTCCCAGACAGAATGCACAGTATAGTAGTAGTAGTAGTAGTAAAAACTACAAGGGAAAAATGAGAAATAATGATAAATGCTTTGAATATTTTGCTTTCCCAGAAACCAAATCTTATCCTGAATGTAGATGGCTTCATCGGTGTTGCATTTGTAGACATGCTTAGAAACTGTGGGTCCTTCACTCGGTGAGCTTTGCAGCCCTTTCCTTCTTCATAATGTTCATTGATTTTTATTGTTGTCCCCTCCCAACTCTGAAAGCAATGCATGCTCATTACAGAGAATTTAGAAAATATGGTGAGGTATAAAAAAACAAAAATTGCCTCTACTTCTACCACCCATAGCACCCCTCTTTACCACTTTAAATCAAAGAGAGCTAGCTTCTCACTCCTGGGCAGAGGTTGTACTCTCTGTGGGGAGGAGGGCCGTCATGTGAGCCATTTTAAAACTACATGTTGAGCCCTGGCCAGTGTGGCTCAGTGGGTTCTGGCGTCGTCCAGTACACCAAAGGGTTATTTTTCAATTCCCGGTCAGGTTGCATACCTAGGTGACGGTTTCAATCCCTGGTTGGGGCACATAGGGGAGGCAAGCAGTTGGCGGTTCTCTCTTTTGCTCCCTCTCTCTCTAAAATTGGTGGAAACATATCCTTGGGTGAGGATTAAAAATGAAACAGAAAAACAGCATGTTGATTGTGTGTTACAGGGAAGAATCTGATGAATATATTGACATTGGAGCCCTCAATGGCATCTTTGTGCTGGGAAGGAGTATGGGCTTCATTGGTGAGTTAGTTGTTATTAAGAGTTTTTTAGGTGTGTTTTTTTACCCCATGGTTCAGCTACACCACTTAACCCAAGTGGTGAGTTTCTACAAGATGTCACACTGACTTAATTGCTGTTCCTAATCCTTCCTTCCTTATTTTCACTTCCCCCTTATCTTTATTTCTTTATCTTGGAAATGACTTCCATTGCAAACCCAGCAAAATATAATTAAATTCAACCAGTTACCTTTTTTACCAAGCCTGACATCTACCTATGGAATGGATCTGAATTTACTTCCCCATTTCTTTGTATCTGCCTTTTTGTAGTAGATAGATTTCCCTTCCTTATCCTTTCTCCTTCACAAACTTTAACAAGTTTACCAACTCTTAAAAAAATGCATTTTAGGACACTATCTTGATCAGAAGAGGCTGAAGCAGGGGCTGTATCGTCACCCGTGGGATGATATTTCATATGTTCTTCCGGAACACATGAGCATGTAACTGAGCCAGGAACCCTGTTACAGTAAAGTGAAGACAACTCCTACCCTGGGAAATAGCGTGCAGACAGCTGGCACTGGAGCTTGCTATAGGATGGGCCTGAAATGTAAACAGCCATGGGTGTACAGGCACTGAAGACCAACACCCATAGGCTAACACTGTTCAGTCCATACAAAGAAGCTTAATATTTTTTTTATAAGCATAGAAATAAAAACAAAGCCAATATTTGTGACATTTGCTCTGCTACCTGCTGTATTTATTACATAAAAGCATTTAAGCACTGTCAGGATAGTGTTTTTCCTCATTGTAGGGCTTTCTGATGTTGCTTTCTTTTTTCGATTAGTTAAAAAAAATTTTTTTCCCCTTGGAGGAAGGGGTTGAAACTTTTAAGACCTCAAGATACTATACATTTAAAGCACCCCTAATGTCTTGTGTTTCCACTTCTCCTTTTTCCTGCTCATGTAACATAAAGAGCATTGTATTAATCTGATCTTTTAAGGATCTTTTTGTGTGTTCTGTGTTAAGGGTTTGTTTGGTATCTCACTGAAACGTTCCATGTTGCAGACCAAAGTCTGCTTATGTCAGGGGGTTGAGACCATTGCATCCTTAGCCATTGTCCCAAAATATGTGTAGTAGTAATTTAAAATGCAAAGTTGTAACATACATATGTTTAAAATGGAAACTCAAAACAAACTGTGAAATGTCTGTGTCTTTTGTTCTCTGTATTTATGCAACTGACTTGTCTGTCTTTTACTGAAGTGTGGGTCCAAGGACTCCTCTCCAGCCAGTCTGCATTGTAATCCACAAAGATTCTGGGCAGCTGCCACCTCAGTCTCTTCTCCATATTATTGTAGTTTGGTTTGAATAAACTATATAGTAACAATGAATACCTACTGCTGTCTCGTGTCATCCATGTCCTTTCATCTGTACTTTCTAATAATTTTACTACCTGTAGTTTTAAAATGTTAATCTACCTCTTTTTGGTGGTTTTTGTTTTTTTTAAAAAGGAGTTAAAACACTATTTCCAGCCCAGCTGGGCATCGCTCAGCAGTTGAGCATGGACCTGGGATCCAGGCGATTGGGGTTCGATTCCCGGTCAGGGCACATGCCCGTAGGAGGGGGCCAATCAGTGACTCATCATTGATGTTTCTCTCTCCCTCTCTCTCCCTCCCCCCCCTTTCCTCTCTCTGAAATCAATGAAGATATATTAAAAAAAACAACACATAGATCTTTCTCTTTAAAAAAAAACAAAAAAATACTATTTCCAAAACCAAAACACCCACCCCTAAATCTGTACTTTCCTCTTTCTCAGTGAATGAGAACCAAAGCTCTACCCATCCAGATACACAAGCCAACATTTGGGAGTCATCCTTCTCTATCTGGTTGACAAGTCCTGTCAATTTATCCTTATTTAGGTGTAACCGACATATTAGTTTTACCTGTACAACATAATAATTTGGTATTTGTATACTCTGCAAAATAATCACAACAGCTCTAGTTACCATTCAGTTTACCCTTTAATTATCCCTCTGATGGATCCATATCTACTATGCTCCCTTGTGCCCCTAACTCTGCTTTTGACCCCGTACAGTCCATTCTCCATGCAGCCACCAGTGATATTTTTTAGAACATCTAATTTGAAACACTCCCTTGCTTAAAACCCCAAAGTGGCTTTTGTTCATCTTTGTGAGTGTGAGTGAGCGAGCGAGTGTGTGTGTGTGAATGCTCACCTGAGGATATTTTTTTTCCATTGATTTTTTTAGAGGAGTGGAGGGGGAGAGAGAGAAACATCGATGTGAGAGAAACACATCGATTGGTTGCTGTCCACAGGCCAGGCAAGACGCTCTAACCACTGAACCAAACCAGCTAGGGCTTGGTCATCTTTTTAACAAGTATGTAGGGAACAGTGCAGCTATACAGGCCACGCACTGCAAAACACAAGCATCTCATTTAATCCTCACAGCAATTTTGCAATGTTGATAATATGACTGTTAGAAGATAATGAGTTCACAGATAAGTAACTTGCTCACCCTCGTTCATGAGTTCGGATTTGGTATCAAGTCTTTATTTAAAACAATTTTTTTAATTTACTCCAAAGTCATTTTAAATATTTAAATAAAAAAGCTGCCCTGGTCCAGCTGGCGTTGCTCAGTGGTTGAGCATGACCCAGGAACCAAGAGGTTACCGGTTTGATTCCCAGTCAGGGCACATGCCTGGGTTGCAGGCTGGATCCCCAGAGGGGGGCGTGCAGGAGGCAGCTGATGGATTATGTTCCTCTCACCCATGTTTCTATCCCTCTCCCTTCCTATCTCTAAAAATCAATAAGAACTTTTTTTAAAAAAAAAATCCTTCCCTGCTCCGTGTGGCTCAGTTGGTTGGAACATCTCAGGCATACCAAAAGGTTTCAGGTGTGGTCCCCAGGGCGCCTTCAGAAGGCAGCCAATCGATTTTCTCTCTCACACCCATGTTTCTCTTCCCCTCTCTCTAAAATCAATAACAATATCCTCAAAGTGAGGATTAAAAAAAAAAAAATCTTATGTTGCCACCCAAGACACTAACANGGCGCGTGCGCACACCCCTCCGCCAGCCGGCTCCGCCTGCGCCCACTATTTACTCCCAGAATCCCTCTGTGTCGCACCAGAACGGCTGGATCGTTCTGAGACTGCGGCGGCCCGGCGCTGCGGCGTCAAAATGGCGGCNTTTTTTTCCATTGATTTTTTTAGAGGAGTGGAGGGGGAGAGAGAGAAACATCGATGTGAGAGAAACACATCGATTGGTTGCTGTCCACAGGCCAGGCAAGACGCTCTAACCACTGAACCAAACCAGCTAGGGCTTGGTCATCTTTTTAACAAGTATGTAGGGAACAGTGCAGCTATACAGGCCACGCACTGCAAAACACAAGCATCTCATTTAATCCTCACAGCAATTTTGCAATGTTGATAATATGACTGTTAGAAGATAATGAGTTCACAGATAAGTAACTTGCTCACCCTCGTTCATGAGTTCGGATTTGGTATCAAGTCTTTATTTAAAACAATTTTTTTAATTTACTCCAAAGTCATTTTAAATATTTAAATAAAAAAGCTGCCCTGGTCCAGCTGGCGTTGCTCAGTGGTTGAGCATGACCCAGGAACCAAGAGGTTACCGGTTTGATTCCCAGTCAGGGCACATGCCTGGGTTGCAGGCTGGATCCCCAGAGGGGGGCGTGCAGGAGGCAGCTGATGGATTATGTTCCTCTCACCCATGTTTCTATCCCTCTCCCTTCCTATCTCTAAAAATCAATAAGAACTTTTTTTAAAAAAAAAATCCTTCCCTGCTCCGTGTGGCTCAGTTGGTTGGAACATCTCAGGCATACCAAAAGGTTTCAGGTGTGGTCCCCAGGGCGCCTTCAGAAGGCAGCCAATCGATTTTCTCTCTCACACCCATGTTTCTCTTCCCCTCTCTCTAAAATCAATAACAATATCCTCAAAGTGAGGATTAAAAAAAAAAAAATCTTATGTTGCCACCCAAGACACTAACAATCGGTGGTGGTCTAATGTGGCTTTTGTTTTACGAAACGCCCATGAAGAAGAGCATGCTGCTCAATGAGGGGAAGGACACGAGCACTCCCCCGCCGNGCCGCAGCTGCATCTCTGCAGGTCCTGGAGATGGAGAGCATGGAAACGGCCGCCGCCGGCTCGGCCGGGCTGGCCGCTGAAGTCAGGGGCAGCGGCACGGTGGACTTCGGGCCCGGGCCCTGCTTATCTGCCATGGAGGCGAGCGGGGGCGATCCGGGCCCAGAGGCCGAGGATTTCGAGTGCAGCTCTCACTGCTCCGAGCTGTCGTGGAGGCAGAACGAGCAGCGGCGCCAGGGCCTCTTCTGCGACATCACCTTGTGCTTCGGCGGTGCCGGAGGCCGCGAGTTCCGGGCCCACCGCTCGGTGCTTGCTGCGGCCACCGAGTACTTCACTCCCCTGCTTTCGGGCCAGTTCTCCGAGTCCCGCTCGGGCCGGGTGGAGATGCGCAAGTGGAGCTCCGAGCCCGGGCCCGAACCAGACACGGTGGAAGCCGTTATCGAATACATGTACACCGGGCGCATCCGCGTCAGCACGGGCAGTGTGCACGAGGTGCTGGAGTTGGCCGACAGGTAGGCAGGAGACGCAGACGCAGGGGAGGCGGGGGGTGGAGATGCTGGCCTCCCGAGGGCCGCATCCAGGGACCGCGCAGAAGAAGGCGGGGAGGGCAGTGCCCACGGCACAGCTCGAGTAAACCCTGAAGAAATGCATTCGTTTAATATCTGCTGTGTGATGCTGGGCAGCTTCTGCGCGGGACACTGAGGATGCAGCCGGCCAGTCCGGCGTGGGCTACTTGCCCTTAGGGAGTTAAGATTCCAGGTGGAGGAACAAAGGCAATGAAAAGGAAAGTCTGCTAGTTGTAAGTGTAAGTGCTGTATTGACATTAAAAAGGGATG